AAGGAAAATTTTCCGGCCGACGTTCATTAACTTTCTCTGTTCTTGGGTAGTTCGCACGAGTTTTTTAGCCACCGAAAAACGTGATCTACTAACGGAAAAACGTGATCTACTGAGAAACTGGGATCTTTGATAGTATCGTGAGTGGTCATGCAAAGAGAATTGATTTTACCACGATTTTATTACCAAATCAACCACGGCAGGCGTTTTTTTTATCAGAAACACCCGACAATTAAGCATTCTCCGCCTCTCTTTACCGCCTAATTAAAACGTGCTAAAATGAAAACTAGTTTCCTCCACTAATTTAAATGATTTTAGAAGTCTTAGAGTACCAGAGTGACGATTACAAGTGATTTTCCAATCCTAACACAGCAAATGACGCAACTAAAAAAATGTGTTTTCTAGAAAACATAAAAGAAATATATACGAGCTTAACTGAAAATTCCTGGGACGACAGTAGGAGATTTTTGGAAGGTGTACAAAGTTTTCCGAGGAAGATTCGAGGATCTTTCGATTGGAAACTAGCTAAAACTCTACACCTTTTACGGGGAAAGTGAGTATATGAAGTAAAAAATACCATCTATTGCATGAAATTGAGTGATTCTTCAAAACCAATCAATTATCCATTAGACTCTTGACCTGTAAAATAAACAAGGTTAAACATTCCACCTCAAAAGTTTGTTTATTCCGAGAGAGTTCAAAATCATTTAAAGAACCGTAAGCAGTGAGGAATGTGACAAAAAGAGCCTAATTTTACCCTCTTATGATCCACTTTAAATCGTCTTAACAGGTAGCCAACTACTATAGACAGTTTAGGAGCAACAGCGGCTAATATCGAAGAAACTCTTTTTACGCCATCAGACCAATTTTTTGGTTTCCATTCTTTGGCATGCAAATATGTCTTTTTTGTCATTCAATAGAAAATGAGGCCTATTAACTACTTAAACAAATGTATAAACAACATAGCACACGTGCTGATAACTACTGTCAGTTATATCATCTGTTAACTCGAGTGTAGAGACGGTAGATTATTCCAGAAATCAGTTATTCACCGAGCGTAACTGGAGACGAAATGTGTCTCGCAAGTGTTTCTGGGATCGTGACTGGGACGCGCCGGTCAGCAGCTACATTGGCCATTTCTTCCCCTGTTCCTATATAAGGTGGCTCGACTGGATTTTTTTTGGGGGCCGGGGATACCTCCCAAGTTTGAGCATTAACTACATCAAAAAAAGTAAAGATATGGAAAAAAGGTTACAACAACTATATTATATAAAGATGAAAATTTCTTATGATCTGGGTTTTATTACAATCGGAGTCGCTATGGCAACGTTATGACGCCATTACGTTTTTTATTTATCTTTGTGTTTCTCTGTACTAGGAGTTTTTTTGAAGAAATCGGTTAAGGGAGCATGTACCTGCCATAATTGCCTCAAATGTGGCAAAGTTTGAACAAACCCCCCCCCCCGCTAAAAAATCCAGTCGAGCCACCTTAAGACGGCTCAATTTCCGTCTTGTTTCTAAAGTATAAACCATAGCCACCCGTGGTATCGAGGTATCCAGGCATCGAAATTCTGACTGCAAACTCAGCTCTAACAGCAAATATCGGGAGACCTCAAGTAGCTTTTGTCTTTGCTATTTTGTTATTAGTCGTCTATATTTTGTCTAACAACAAAACCTGTATTGCTCTATTGCATGCGTACATGCAAATAAAGCAATTATGTTTTAACAACTTGCGGTAAGCGGTCTCTTTTTTGCGGGTGAGAGTTGCTAAAATTGAGCCTAATCAGAAATTCTTCTTCTGTCCAGTATTATTATTTTCGCGAAACTGTTGTGCAATATGTGACTTTATCAGGACAAGAAGCATATATGTGCTTCTGTCAGGACTGAATATTGCCTTTAAAAATCGAAATCATCTGACAATAAACTTTAATGTCACGTAATGTGGGTAGAAAATAGCCCCTCTTGCCTCATTTATGCCCAATATCCTTATGCTTAATTATAGTTGAGTATGACAGTAATGAGAATCTAAAAATGCCGCTTAATTGGAAGGGATTCAGCTGCATACAGTTCAGTAATAAAATTGTCGTTAGAGAGGAATATTTTGACGAAGATCACGATCACTTCGAAACGTGCCTTACAAATCAAAAGGCATCGAGTTTCGTGACTGCAAAGCTTCAGGCCCCAGTTGTTCAAAGGTCGATAGCCTTAGTTATCCACTGAATCGGATAATTCACTATGCAGTGAAAAAGTAGTGGGAAGACACCAAGGAACTGGAAGGAATCAATATCTGCACACTCACGAGTCTCGCTGGCTGTTTCTCAGAAAAATTACACATGACGCGAACAATTGGTTTATAGTCAGGATTCTACCTAAGCTACAATCAGGCGTTGTTCAGTTTTTCTTTGAGAAGAGAGGGTGACTGGGGGGGGGGGGGGGGGGGGT